GCGCGCCAGATTGCTCTTACAACTCGGCCAGTGGCCACCAGTGCCTTGGACGAAGTTGGTCCTTGAAGTCGCCGCAAAACCCTCCGAGTCTCCGGTCATTGATGATTGAACGTCGTCACGGTTGACGGAGGCCGTTCCTCGCCCAGACTCCCAGGCCATCGAGCAAGGGATCTATACATTTGCCAAAAATATGGTCGCGACTCCGCGTGCAAATTTTTGGGGTGGTGGTCAAACGGGGCTGGCAACCGTGACTGATGTGACTACGCTCCTCAACCAAAACCACCACGTCGCCGGGCGCAGCGTCCACGGTCGGCCTTGTTCTGTCACTTCCGTGGGATGGATGCCCGTCTCTCTTTTGCGTCGAAACACTTACGGGCGGCCTTGGCACTTGCTCGGTGTCTTCTGGCCCCCAGAGAAGAAAAATCCAAACCATCACCATTGTGTCGTACGCGAAGAACCGACAGACCAACTTTCAGGCACCGCCAAGGCACGCCTGCGAGCATCGGTACTTAGATACCAAGCGCCTATGTAGATGATGGCTCCAACGAAAGAGGGTTTTTCCCCTTTTCGAAATGGTTGCTGGTTGCTCTCGCCGGATACAGCTATGAAAACTGAACGCGCTATTCAACGATTTTCGGTCTTCCTTTTATCGCCGTGGCACAGACTCAGCGAGCCTCATTGCCCTCTTCCTCCAAAAAGTCGGATCTGACTCCGGAGGCGCAACTTGAAGGAGATTGTTGTGGTGCGGCGAACTGGGGTGCGGCGAACTTGGTGATTGGCCGATATCGATATTGGCAGCCTGGCAAGCACGCGCACGGGAGCGCTAGCGTAGGCGAGGTCTCGCGACCCCCTGATTCACTGATTCAATTGTGGCATCCCGACTCGCTTAAATCTTGCTTCCATTCTGTTGAGTTCCCTGCGCGCGATCCGACCTGAGGTCTGGGACAATTCCTTTGCAGTACACGGCGTTGCAGCAAACTTCGAGAACGGTGGCCAGACAATGCTCGATGGCGACGATGTTCATCACACGGCACTGAAGCTTTCGCAAACGCGGCTCTGATTCTTTCACCCAAATGGAGCTTGCGGACCCACAGATACTCAGGACCCAAATTCACGTCAGCGAATAACGTTGCCAATTTTCTGCATTCCGCGCTTCAACCGCGCTTAACCCCAGGTCTCTCAGGCTCGCCATCGGCAATGAGCCGAACCCTTTTTCTTCTCTCTCCAACATGGCCATCGAGGTGAGCGTTCCACCGAGTGCAATTTGGCCCATTTAACGCAATGCAAGAACGCCTCGACGCAGGCAACGCTGAGCATCGACTTTCTGATCATTGGTGCGGGTGTTTCCGGCCTTGCGTGCGCTATCGCGTTGCGAAGGGTCGGGCATCGGGTCGTCGTCATCGAGCGAGAGGAGGAGATTGGGGAATCCAACGTGGGCCTGTTTCTGGGACTCTCTGGACCGCGATTCACTTTGCCATGATCAGGTGTCCCGGGGCGTCCGCATGCCACCCAACTTGACTAAAATCCTATACCACTGGAACTTGAAGGCAGAGGTGAATGCTTTTGCGGTCAAGTCCAAGGCGATTGAGATCTCGCGCTGTGCGTTTAGTTGTGGATTTTGTGCACATTTGCTGATCGTCTGTGCAGTGGAGACGGGGGTTCTTCTGGGTAATCATCACTGGGACGAAGAAGTCCTTCGAGAAACACGGGGAGAGTTTCTCTTTGCGCATGTACGTTATTCGACTCTGTTGTTCGAATTCCAACTGAAGAACCATCAGCTTTCGGATCTCCGAAAGATGATGCACGACGTTGCTGTCAGCCAAGGCGCTACAATTCGCCTCAATAGCACTGCCGTGGCCGTTGACCCTGAGCGACGCTCAGTTACTCTAGACTCTGGTGAAACTCTAACAGCCGACGTGATAATCGGAGCCGACGGTATATCTGGCCTCGTGCGGCCCTTGCTATTAGCAGAACAAGACATTCAAGAAGCGTCGGAAGCGTCGCTGTGTATGTATAGGTAAGATACTAGTTTATTGAGTATTCAACGCTGATGATCGTCTATAGTGCCATCATACCAAAGTCCTTGGTAGAAAGAGATGACCACTCCAAAAAATTCTATCAGGCAGAAGACGTGCGTTGCCAGTTGTCCGATACGCAACTCTCATAAATTTCCTACTCCAGATCACGATGTTCTCTTTCTTCGGGGACAACCACTCAGTAATCGGCCACCCCATCGTACGCTCTTTCATGTTACTGTTGTGTTTTTTTATCTTAAAATGGACCAGCAGGGCGGCTCGCCTTCATTCACATTCTGCTTGTATCGTCCTTGGGATGATTTCGAAGACGCGCCGGCAAATGGGATCGAAAATGCCCTGAAAACGGTAGAACCTAGGCAAGTTCGCTGCAGAGACAATTTGCTCGCGCTGATCACCGCTTAGGCTGAAAAACCTTGGTTCAGTGATTTCACACCCGGTCCGCATGCCGATTTTCGAACATCCAGCTCTCGAGGACTGGGTGGATCAGAGCGGCCGTTTGGTCGTGGTTGGCGCAGCAGCCCATCCCATCCCTGTACGTTCGTTTGTTTCATCCAAGCATCCCGAGCTCATTTAATATCAGGCTGGATCCACGCAGTACTATGCCATGGGCGTCGAGGACGGCGCTGTACTGGCGAAGCTCTTCTCGCACTTGAACACTCATAGCCAAATTAACGACTTTCTCTATGCGTTCCAGGAGCTGCGACAGCCGCGTTGCGAGACAGTGCTGGCGTCGGAGACTGGCATTATCCAGTACATGTCGATGCCCAACTGTCCGGATCAGGTACTGCGCGACCAGGCCATGATGGCCAGGACTGATGCGAATTCCGATCTCTTCGACGTCTCCGACGGAGCAGACGAGTCTCCAGAGTGGGAGGAAATCAAGACTGTGTTTGGCTACGACGCTGAAGACGAGGCCGACAATTGGTGGGTGAGCTGGGGTCTATTGAAGGAGAGGTCTCTGGAGCCCGCGGCGTAGAATAGTTGGTCTATTATTTAATAAACCACATATCTTGCGGGTCGCTACCGCTGTGTGTTAGATTGTTGCTGGAAGATGGGGACCCAGATGTTTAGGTTGCGGTCAGATGGTGAATACTTTGTGGGCTTCAAAAGAAACAGTGCAAACATCATTTGGAATGGAGTTACTGATGTCCAAGTTCAATGAAACGTTGAAGGTTCAGAGTCTCCGAATTGGTGGAGGGGTCGACATCCCCGCTTCTTGCGTGTCGCGCCGGCTGCCTTTATCAGTCCGGACATCCTGTCCTAGAATTGCGAGGGCGTAATGTCAGCGACGTCTCGAGTCTTGAGTCTCAGTTCAACTGATTTGCCGCAAAGTCAATTAAGGCGATACCTACTGACTGCTCTTTCCTGAGCATATTGCACATCCGGATTGGTGTAGGGGTTAACATTGCCGCCTCTCTCCGAATCTATAAAAATTTTGACCCCGTCAGGGGTCAAAATTTTTATAGATGAGGTTTAACCGAGCTTTAGCGAGGCCTCGTCCCAGAGGGACGCCCGACGTCATGCCGAGCTTGCGAGGATGACGTCGGGGGTCACGGCAACGTGGGCGGGACCCTTGAGGTGGGCGCGACCAAGCGTCGGTCCCGACGCCAAGACATTTTATATCAACTTTCGTACATCTTATTGCTCCCGCCCGGGCCGTCCCGGCTTCTTCCGCCTCTTCACGTCGCGCGGCCCGAGCACCGCCCCTCTCCGTTTACTAGTACTGCTCTCACTGCACTCGTTTAATACTGCCTCGCTTCTTTCAATGTCCATTCCAATCCCTGCGCCGCTTGATTCTTGTGCACGTCATTCTCCCAAGTTGTTGCTCGAATCACTGCCCCAAGGACCGCACTTGAATCGTACACGGCGGACATTCGACATCCACGTATTTCCCTCGCGGCACTGCGAGCACCCAGTCCGGGCTTTGAATACGCTAGATACGCGCACTACAATACACGCTACTCGGATTCGTCGGCATTCACATTCGAATCGCGCGTTTCCCGGGTCACCTTCATATGCACGTCAATTACCCCTCTCATTAGCCTGCGTTTAGGTGTTCCTGTCCACCAGCCACGAATTTCTCAGCAAACCTACGCGTCTCATTTACGACTTCATCTACGTTATCCGCTAATGTCATCCTCTCGCCGGACCCGCTCTGGACATGCAACAGCGCCGCCAACACTGTTCGACGTAACTTCTGTAGCCGTGTCCGCATCTTTTGGACCGTACACTGTCGTTTATATTGTCGCTTCTAAGCACACCGTCGATCCGCCACTGGCAAGATACGTAGCTCCTATCCACCGTTCGAAACATTGCATATAAAGGTCAATTAGCCTCTCCTCGAATGCATCGTCCAAGCATCGCAGTCCTAGTATCTCAAGTTATCCTACGCTGCACTTCAATAACATCGCCATTCACATCATTGACAATTGTTGCCAGAACCTGTGTTCCGCTCGCCATTTCTCAAGCATTCGAAACCTCCAATAAGCGTATCCGCGCACCATCCACAATGTCCCCAACCTCCCGCGCGCGCGGCATGTCTCCCACCAGACTCGGCTTCTGTACTCCCCCGCCACCACTCTGATGTGAATCACGACCAGTCCTCGACCCAACACTCAACGGTCATCGCCCACCCTACGTTTCTCGCTCAACGGTGATAGGAGAAGTTGGTATGAGCCGCACCATATCGTATCCGCAGCTTTTAATCCAGTTCGCTTGTGACCACACATTTCATCCGTATATAAGCAGATGTCATTGTTTTCAGGCGCTTCCTACATCTTTCGACGTCGCATTCTTTTCAAGCTGTCAATGCCAAGACATCAAGTGGACTGAAGTTCACGAAGCCGGGACAACGGAACCAGGGCAGCAAAGGGACAATTGACCCGGGCCATTGCGCAAAACAAAATGTGGAGCGTGTTCTCTCCGAAGGTTTTGATTGTACCGGCGCATCGCAAACAAAAAACGTTCCGACACGGGGAGTCGAACCCCGGGCACGTGCGATCGCAATGAGAGGCACATATGTTACCGCTACACCATATCGGACCTTGAGAAAGGTGTGCAAGGTAGCAGTGTCGTCAGCCGGTGACACGCGATCTACATTTCCTCAGGACAGCGATATTCTGCTTCGTTGAACCTTCCTGCGCACTGCTATGTACAGGATCTCTCACCCGCCGGTAAGCGGATGACAACGTCCATACGCTCAAAACATCCCAGCAGATGTACATTTGAAACCAGGAATTAAACTACCAGGGACTGCTGCATCTTCTTGGCATCTCCCGTATTTCCTCCACGGCTCAATTACTCCTTTCAAGTTCGACCTAAATCTCAGCTAAACCTGGGCTGTAGCGGCAAAATGGGAACACCTCGAGCACACCCTTCTTGATGCGCGAGCCCCTAAGACACCTGGAGGTGCAGACGGAGAAGACAGGCATGTGGAAGACGACACCAAACGTGTGCGGCGCTGATAAAGCAAATGTTCATATGGAATCCGTCGGATCGCATCTCTGCCTCTGAAGCATTGGATTCCGAGCTTTTGAATACTATATAAGCCCAATCACGAATGAACTGCACCTCTGCGAATTGTACGACCGATGGATTTTTTATTTGAACCGCGACAGGACTACCAGGGTTTGGGAGTACAGAAAAATCCTTCCGGAGCGAACCCGTGGCCCGAGTGCAAATGGATTCAAGGTCACCATTCTGAAGGATGCTTTGGTTGGCTTCCATGGCACGCTCCCCCGTCACATCGGACAAAGAAAGGTCACGTACAGCAACAATCAGCCCCTGGACATTCGGTACACCCATACATGTATGTATTCAGACAATACACTATCAGTGCTAGCAGCTAACACGCGACATTTAAATTCCACTCACTCCCGTATCATTCCCTGCAGTCCCAGCCTCCCAGGCCAACCAACTCAATGACGCATCCCTCGGAACAGCAGCCAAGGCAATTCAACTCCTAGTGTGTTCTCGCGGAGCGAGGGTCAACCGGTCGAAATACCAAGTGTTTTTCGCGCAGCGAGGGCCAACCGGCTGAAATACCAAGTATTTTCTCGCGGAGCGAGGGCCAACCCGGTAAAATGCCAGGTGTTTTTCGCGGAGCGAGGTCGTGTCTCGTACCTCGTGTCCGGTGTTGCGTCTCTAAAAAAAAGTGCTAAAATGCACTAAGTCGCGATCAAAAGTGGACTTGTGAAATTTCACTCACTTTCTCGTCTCTAATGCCTGAAAGGCACAAAATACACTAAGTCCATGACGGACTTGACGGACTTGTAATTTTTTGCCTTTTTTGACTGCTCCTTTATTACCTGGTGGTTCGAAAAGAGAAAGTTAAAATGCACCAAGTCCATCACGGACTTGCGAATTTTTGGAGCCTCTGATCGCTTCGATTTTCCCCCTCACCGATCCTCGTTGAACGAAGCACCGCACTTTTATGCCTTTCTACCACATCGGGATTTAAACAACTTGCGCGTGAGCTCGCGTACGAGCTCGCACGAGCTCGTACGCGAGCAAACAAGACGCGAGACCGCGCGATCACGAGCTATGTCCGTGATGTCCACGCGAGCAGCTGTAATCTCCTTCCCACGGGACCTGCAAGCCCAGAGTACCCTGCAGGGCAAGAAACACCCAACAGAAAAGTTATTCTGGAGTACACAGGGGGTTGTTGGGGCTCACCGGGCTGAGGAATGAGAGAATCAAAAATCAAAATTTAGCGGAGACAAGATTCACGCGACATCACAAGATCAAAAAGACGCGCGCAGAATGTCATCTTGCTGATGCATGAGGGTTCAAACTTCGGCGGCCCGGGTCATTGTCAATTGTTTAAAAATTTCAAGCTCTTTCTGAAGACAGTGACCTGTTTGAAACTCGGTGCTATCGTCGGCGTCCAGAAGAGAATCGAGAGATGAAACCTTGCTCGGAACTTGCCGGCCTGATCAAGTTTGCCACTTTGCCATCAAAATATGTACAAACATTCGTGTCATCGACGACGACGACGACAGCGCTCACCGACGGTGCCCTCCCCGACAACGGTGCCGCTCGCAGCCATGCGCCATCGCGGCCCGAGTCGATATCGCGAGCGCCCGCCACGAACCACCGGTCATCAAATCTAGGACCCAATGTGATCATCAAGTCTGCCCGACCAGCATCGGTACCATGGCTCAGCGGGCTAACGCGCCTGCCTCTTGTGTTTACTCAAGGCCCGCCGGTCGATCCCGCCAGCCGACACCTTTTTACGCAAGTCCGTGCTCCCCGACGATTTCGATCCAAAAGTTGGATCCAAATCCCGCATTACCCATCCGCCCACCAACATTACCCCGCCTCCGAGACGTTCCGACCCGCCCGCCTCATCCGGAACAACCCGCGCCTGCCTCCCCGCAGCCAAGAGCTCCGGAACCACCCGCGCCTCGCAGCAGCCTGCAATCACAGCAGCGCATTGCCAATTGTCGCCGCCGCCGGACAGCAGGCAATTCCCAGTATCCGCCAGTGCGTCCTCCGCATCCCCGCTGGCATCAATATGCACGCTCCCTCAGTTCAGCTTCCCAGTGCTTCCCGAAGGTGCGTTTACTACCGGCCATGGATCCAAACCCATTCGTAACACACAAATCCAGCAGCCCAGGCTTGCTTCGTCTCATCCAGCAGAGCAGATGGCTGCGAACGTCGCGCACCTGTGCTATGTATCTCGCGCACATGCATTATCATCTCCGCCATTCCCTCATTGCTCATGACTCCGAGCGGCCGCTGCTGAAAATGAAGTGTGCGTCAGTTTTGTGTGTATCGTTGCATCCTCATCCTTCAGCCCCAGTGAAAACACGGTCTTGGGAGATATCGGCGGTTATCGGCGTGCATCGCGCAGCCTTCAATTTGTTAGTTAAGGCTTGCCGATGCACGCCGATGCCAGACCCTGCAAAAATGGGTTTTTTGACGCTTTTGTATCGGACTGCATCGCGAGGGATAGAGTATTCTGTATTATTCCTATGAATCAATAAAATACATGCTTGGTACACTATGCGCCCCGCTCCCCGCTCCCCGATCGCTGGAATGCTCTCCCCCCTCCTCCCTTCATCTGGTAGCCACGGCATCCTCCGCTTTCCATCGACATACACCCTCGACCTGGGTTCGCGTGGACGCAGCCTCAGCTTCGTGCGCGATCGTCGGCAGGATGCACGCGCGACGTCTCGAATGTGCGTCTTTAGGCCACGGAGTGGGCGAAGGCGTTGTAAGAGAACGCGGCGGAGGCAAGGCCAAACGAAGATGCCGTATTCCGATACCGTGGAGGCGCCGACGCTCGAGGTGGTCCTGTGGGTGCGTTAATAGGGTGCTATATGTAGCGAGAGAACGTAGAGGTGAATGACGAAAAGATGGCGCACTGTAGAGATACACATGGTTGTACGTCGTTTAAGCCACACTCCGACTCGATTCCTGTAGAATTGGCTCAGAGACTGCAGTAAAGTAGTGGAGACCTGCGTACCTGATCGGTCCGAAGCAGTATAGATCATGTTTCGCTGCGAACGTGATTAGATGAGATCGACGACGTCCATGTTGACAATATACCTCTGTTATCCCCTTCTCCCCTGTGGGTAATTCCACTTCTTCTCGGTATCCTCTCCCGCATCAACAGCGACGGAATCGGGACAAAGGACACACAAAGCCCGGCTTCCCTACGCGGCCTACGGCTTTGACTCGTGCAAGAATCAAGCCAGCTAGCCAAAATGCACACCCCAGGATGGTTTTCGTAAAGAAGCGACTGCAAACCAGTTCGATCCGAGGAAGACAGACACCAGTCAGACCAGAGGGACGCCCAGAGCCAGCCCAGAGTCAGTCAGAGAGTAACAACCCAAGAAAGCAGTGTCAGCCAAGACAAGAAGACGAAGAGCAGCGAGCTCAGAGGCGGTAAAGAAGAGGCGATGGTGGTGGTACGAGGAAGAGAAGTGATTCAAACTCCGCTCCGATGACTGACTCATTTCGGGCCCGAGCTCGACTTGGAATAAAAGAAGTGAGTTCAACGGAAAGTGTATGATGTCATTCACTCTGTCTCAGGACAACTCAAGACAGTTTTGAGAAAAACTCGAGGCAGGGCGATATTTTTTAGACCCACCGATACCCGCCGATATCTCCCAAGACGGCGTTTTCACTGGGCTTCAGCCCCTCCCTGGACGGGCCGCCGCTACGTGCAGTGCGTCGCCCCCCCCACTCAATGTACGTGTGGATTCTGGAAATACTAATTCCTATATCCACTTGTAGCGCTTTATTCCTATAAATGAGATCTTACCGCGACACTGTTGCTTCCCCCGGTAGATCTCTACTTGTCATAAACAGCGCGCTGAGAGATAGAATAGAATATAAATCTGAATACCCTCAAACACCCAGCGTGTGAGAGTTTGGCGGCGCCGTGCCTATCCTTGTTTGGCAGTGAATCATCTCTCTTCCACTCGTCCTCATCGCAAGTACCATGCCTATCTTCATCAACGTAGGCGAAGCTGCAGCCGGGGTGTATAGGTCAGTCATGGTAATGCTTTACCTACATTCCCGGACCATTGACGTTGGCAATAGAATCTTTGCCCGGGATACTGACAATGACGCTTGGATACTCTTCACACTCACAATCCTCACACAAACTCAAATCCGCCTCAGGTATGTTTATCTTTCTCGCGCGATGCTGACACCAACATTGCCTCCTGTGTAGACGCCTCGTGTCGAGGATAAGCGACATAGACCTTCTTGCGATGCGACCTCTGCGAGAGGACTTCGGTCCGCCGTCGTCGATGGCGCTATCCTGGGAAGACTTGGATCTCACCGATGTCTAGGAGAAGCCCGTGTAGTGCTACAACCGCTGAATTAGCGTGCAGTCGAATGATGACCTGCGTACATACTGAAAATTTCTTGACGCGACCTCCAAGGTGAGTTTATCTTTCTTATCGGAACGCGTTTGAATCGCGCCTTAAGAAAAGTCCAGATTCCTTGCGCGCGCGCGCGATATCGTCTATGATAGCTCAAATACAATTGTCCGCGGCGCATGTTGCTAATAAATGAATTCTGTCCCG